TAACATCCACCAGCTCCGTGATGTCGTCATGGAGGAGTGGAAGAGGACTCCAGTGGCAACCTCAAGTGTGAAGCTCTGGTGAACTCCATGCCCACGAGGGTTAAGGCAGTGCTGGAAAATAATGGTGGCCACACAAAATATTGACACTTTGGGCCCAATTTGGACATTTTCATTTAGGGGTGTACTCACTTTTGTGGCCAGCGGTTTAGACATTAATGGCTGTGTGTTGAGTTATTTTGAGGGGACAGCAAATTTACACTGTTATACAAGCTGTACACTCACTACTTTACATTGTAGCAAAGTGTCATTTCTTCAGTGTTGTCACATGAAAAGATATAATAAAATATTGACAAAAATGTGAGGGGTGTACTCACTTCTGTGAGATACTGTATATACATATTTAAACAAATTAGATTTAAAAAAGTAACCTAAAAACTAGTCAGAATACATTATCTAAAATGAGTAACCTAGATTGTGTCACTAACAACAGTTTTCATTATGTAATTAACAAAGTACAGTTTCTACCCAGCACTGAGTAGGGTTGTAATTTGAAATCATACCAACTTTTCAAGTCGTTGTCTTTGTATATACAGGTGACGAATCTCAAATCAGATCCCCGTCAATGTTGCAAAGACTCCTGACGCTTCCTTCCCAACTTCTTGAGGATGACGATGAGTCAATGGATGCCGTTCCCAGTATGGAAGTGTCCACAGATCCGGCTGATTCGCAAGTCGGTAAGGGCTCAATGAGTGACCAGATGAATAAGAAAAAGGAAGAGGAGGATAATGATGAAGAGGACAACGAAGATGGCGACGAGACGACGGACAGGACTGAGTCCTTGAAACACAAAGGTGGGAGAAAATCCCATGCTTGCAAAGAGTGCGGCAGGAAGTTCAGCCGAGCGCATCTTCTCAGAGCCCATCGACAAACGCACGAGGAGACGCCCAACCGATGCCCACAATGTGGAAAGAGTTTCTCCCAGTCTTCAAGGCTCCAGGCTCACTTACGGACGCACACGGACAAAACGATATGAGAGAGTGTAGATGAAAGAAATTTAGGAGAATAGGTGGAGAGGTTTTCCAGTGATTTGTTGCTTCTCGAAGTGAGTCAGACTTTCAAATTCATTTCAAGTACTGATAATGGAAATGCAAGAAACATGTAGCCTTTTTTGCTAGTTTGAAGGTACACTGAGGTAATTAGACATCCAACACAATTTAAGATGTTTTTACCTCCATTTCGTTTCCCTAATTTTAGGGATTATTGGAAGAAGCAAATACTAGTAACAACAAGCTGTGTACACAGTGTAAATATCAAAGTAGGGCTGCATAGACCATCACAATAAGGATAGAAGAATTTCCTTTTTCCATTGGGTGTTTTTTCATAATTCAAGTTTTAAAAGATCCTAAAACGTTGTAAATATTTTAAACACGTTACATGAAGATGTCGTGGAAAAGGAATTCGCTAGTTAATAGGCCCATGCAGCATGCTGGTCTTGTTTCTTTTTACAACATTTGGAACGTGATCAAACGAACCAGAGATAGCGTAACGCGTCTCCTGCGATCGAATCAACCAGTTTTTCATACGTCCTTACCGACTTAGTACTCAACATGAAATACCTCGTGTTCAGATGTCATACTGGATTTTTATATAATTAAAGTCTTGACTTACATGTCAGATTCTAGATGTTTTCTTCAACCTTTCGCCATGGGTCGAGGATGGCTTACAGTTTTTGACTTGAACTTGCACACTTGTCATCGATTGCATGACGTGCACAACCAAGGATATCTTCAAGAGGCAAGGAGTCTGAGGACGAGATGACAAGAAAATTGCATTGAAATGGTTATTGGAAAGAAACTTGAAGCTCCTAACTCTTCATATTCTCATTTCATTGACTTTAAAAGAGGATCTGACTTTCCTAGTATCCTCAACTAGAGTAGCGTCTTCCTGTTTGCGTGAAGTGTTCGCATGGCTCAACATCTTGAACTTGGAGAAATGCTCAGTTGCCGGTTGTGAAATTTGGTTTTCCCAGCATCGGTGGCATGTATCTGAATACGTAGTCTTCCTTAGGGAAGCCGTTATCTACCATTTCCAGAGAGGCAGACGGATCCTGCACTTACAATTTACGCCCTGTATCGAAGGGATATAGGTCCCACCTGTTACGCACATTCCCACTCTCGACCCTGACTTTTTACAATATCTCTGTCAGTAATAAGCATGATGGGGGGAAAAAAAAGTACAAGGTGTTACTGATCAATACCTCATCGATGGGACCATATCTTTCGGGACTTCTGCAATATCAGGAGTTAAGGTCCTGCTCAAAAAAAAAACAAAAACGTTTACAAATGGAACGGGACCGGCCAGTTGGCCTGCTTATTTGATTGTGCATTTAAAAATGTGGCTTATTTTATTTTACGCTACTTAATGTCCCTGTAGGAAGGTACCAAGAACTTGCGACCCAAAGATTACAACGAAGGGAAAACTTTTTCGACCATACATACTCTTATAGGATTGTATTGCTTTTTTTTTAACAATATGGGCCATTACATTTTACATTATGAACCCTAAGCTTCTTTCAGATGTATTGAGTATTGTAACTTCATTAGTAGACTATAATGAAGTACTTTATCTGTTTAGTGCCTAGATTTAACCATTCAATAAGCTGATCTTATAGGTGTTGGTGATGATTGTGAGGTTAATTAATTGTTTAGCACCCTGCCTTTGTTAAAAAAAATGACCAGAACTCTTTCTTTCTTGTGCTTAGTTCTTTCACCTGAACAGTCAGCTCTAGATATTGTACCAGTTCTCTTTAATTATGTTACTGCTAGTCAAATCTGACTTCAATGTTAAAATAATTCAGTATGTTTCATCAATTCAGACTGCTGGGAGGGATACCAGGAAGAGTTAGTTCACCCAAAAATGAAAACCCTGAGACATTTCTCAAATTATCTTACAGGTTTAGTCATGCAGGTTTGAAGGTGAGTAAATGAAGACAGAGTTTTCATTTTTGACTGCACAATCCCTTTAAAGGAATAGTTCATCCAAAAATAAAATTGTAATAATTTGCTTTGATCTTTTGATAAATGTTGGTTGCTGGTAGTTATTGACCTCCATAGTGTGGAGAGAATAATAGATATCGGCAGTTAACAACATTGTTCAAAATATGACCTTTTGTGCTTAACAGAAGAAAAAATTCATACATGTTTGGAACAACATGAGGGTGAATCAATAATGACAGAATATTTATTTTTGGGTGAACTGTCTCTTTAGGCTAATTACAGCTGATGGATCCAAAAGACTATTGTATAAAGACTATGATATTAGTAAGAGTGACAATATTATGGTATATTTCCATTTGTTCTGGGTTACAATAAGCAATTTAAATGAATATTGAAGGACTTGAATTTTGCATTTGACTTAATGCCATGAAACGGCCCCATATACGCCCATCTATTTATGACCATGAATTAAAGAATCTTGGCATGTAAAATCGCTCTGGTCCACAGATATTTATTCAGTTAGTACTGGCGAATGTGTGATGCAGTCTCTTGTAAAAACGACATTGCAACTTTGTGGGGTGTGTTTGTTTACGTGTGTGCGTCTGCAGTCACTGACTTTCCTTGAAGTGCATCATAACTCAATTGACCGTTATTAATACCCTACACCTGTTATTTTATTTATTTTTACTTTTTTGTAACCTTTTTTATGAAGCAAAATAAACAGCATCTTTCTGCCAAACAGTCTGAAACATGAGCTTTGTGATGCAGTCCAGCATTCGCCCAGAGAACTGCATTGTTCTAATTAACTACTTGAGCATTTTAGTGTTTTGTTTATGTTATGCATGATGACTCCATTTAGTGGTTTTGTTACTTTTTAAGAATCTGTATTGTCATGTATTGAAAAGAACACTTGTTGTAACAGACCAGTTGGATCAACTGTTTTCCATGGATCATGGCTAGTAGTTTTCAGTTTTATGGTATAGTAGCTCTAAATGGATTATAGAGTTATGCATTTGACCAATAAATGCCAAGCATTACTTTTGTACCATTTTCTTTTTCCTGTTACTCCACACATCCATACCTCAGTTTTGTTGGTAGTCTGAAAGCCTTGCTCAGTTCATTACCTCAGGACTCATTCACATTGTTTTAGCATATTTATGGCGAAAGTAGACAAATGTTAAATTTGGTTTACATTCAGTAATATGTTTTGTTGAAATAATCATCTCTAAATTGGGAGAAAAAAAAGTGATAGGGTTATTAATGAAAACTTTCTATTTAATCAATATTGTTATTTTACAGTAAAAGCACATTATAATCCAGGTAATTATGAACCACATATACAGAACATCAATACTAAATCTTTTCCTTTCGAGAGTTGACCAAATTTTGTGCAACATCGAAAGTCATTATTATTGGGAAGTTGTGTTTGTTTGCATTTTTTTCATCTTTTAGGAATGCCTGTTGTTGTAACCAGCGTTGAATTTCTACTTTTTTTTTTTCCAAAAAGATTTTTACGTATCACTGAAATGTCTTTTAATGTGACTGGAAGTAGTTGTACATTTGAATTATGGCAATACATTAAAAAGGTGGAATATTGCATCAATTACATGCTTTGTCATTTTTCATTCTAAGTCTTGAATTGTATCATCCATAAAATCTGCTTCCTTCATTTCTACCTGTGCAACAGTAGAGTGGGGTGTTTATCTCTCAGCTGAGTTTCTGAACTCTATGTAGCTGGGATCTCTAGAAATTAATGTTTTTCCTAAACATTGATGCATATATGTGCAAAAGGCAACCAATCAAATGGCCCTAGGTTTTTTTGTTTTTGGCTTTCTAATAAATTCTACAGTAAAGTCCTCCAGCTAGATGCAACTTGAAAAAGCCTTCCTGTTTGATGCTATTGTGACGTTCTAAGCAGTAACAGCTGTGTGACACTTGCCGTTTGATTTGTATCAGTTGTGGAGATGCACCTTCACAGCAAATGAAATAACTTACAGGATGAATATACAGTGTATGTGCGCCTATTTTGTTTTTAAAGAAGTAACTAACCCAAAAATTTAAATTCTCAACCTCAGGCCATCCAAGATGAAGATGAGTTTCTTCATCAGAACAGATTTGTAAAAAGTAAGCATACATCACTTGTTCACCAGTGGATCCTCTGGAGTGAATGGGTGCCGTCAGAATGAGAGTCCAAACAGCTGATAAAAGTATCACAATAATCCACGCCACTCCAGTCCATCAATTAACATCTTGTGAAACAAAAAGTTCCTTGTCTGTAAGTAACAAATCCATGATTGAGTCATTTTAAAGGGTTCCTCCACCCCAAAATGAAAATTGTCATTAATCACTTACCCCCACGTCGTTCCAAACCCGTAAAAGCTTCGTTCGTCTTCGGAACACAAGATATTTTGGATGAAAACCGGGAGGCTTGTGACTGTCCCATTGACTGCCTAGTAAATTACACTGTCAAGACCCAGAAAAGTATGAAAGACATCGTCAAAATAGTCCATCTGCCATCAGGGGTTCAATCTGAATTTTATGAAGCGAGAATACTTTTTGTACGAAGAAAACAAAAATAACGACTTTATTCAACAATTTGTCTCCTCCTCGTCACCGTAGCACCATTTTGGAGAGTATCCACTGAACGTAAACTGCGTATACTGTTCTACTTGTCTGTGTCTGTGTGATTTGAACGAAAACAGCGTATCCGTGTGGTGCGGCTGACACAGAACAGCATACGCAGTTTGCGTTCAGTGGATACTCTCCTAAATGGACGCGGAGGGGAAAAATTGTTGAATAAAGTCGTTATTTTTGTTTTCTTCGTACAAAAAAGTATTCTCGCTTCATAAAATTCAGATTGAACCACTGATGGCAGATGGACTATTTTGACGATGTCTTTCATACTTTTCTGGACCATGACTTATCATGGAAGCTTTTACGGGTTTGGAACGACATGGGGGTAAGTGATTAATGACAACATTTTCATTTTGGGGCGGAGGAACCCTTTAACTTTAAACCTTTGCTTTTGGCCAGAATACAAGTCCATAATCCATTCAGTGAAAAAGTCCATCCCCTGTTGTCCTCCCACATTTTAGCAAAGTGAAGTTAAAAATGTCTTGATGGATTTGTTTCTTACAAACGCAGCTTTTTGTTTCAAAATATGTTAATTGATGGACAGGAGAGGTATGGATTACTAGTGTATTATTGTGATGTTTTTATCAGCTGTTTGGACTCTCATTCTGACGGCACCCATTCAACGCAGAGGATCAATGATACATTTCTCCAAATCTGTTCAGCTAATGAAACAAACTCATCTACAACTTGGATGGCCTGAGGGTGAGTACATTTTCAGCAAATTTTCAATTTTTGGATCAACCTTTCCTAATAACTTGAACTTTTTCTTTGTCAAAAGCCAATTTAAATCCCCTCTGGCTCAATGTTGTAAACAATAAAACATGAAAACGACCAAACGGTGAAAATTTTATGGGCACTGTAAAATAAGCTTCTGAAATCTCTTCCCATTTAATGGTGATTGATTATCTCTCATGTTATGTCGTACTGCCTCTTAAACTTTTCAGTTGGTTTCCTTGTGGCCCTGTTGGCACATTACCCACAGTTGTGTCATCTGTAAGATGTGTCTAAAAGTGTAATGGAGACAAATACATCATTGGAAGGAAGATTAACCATTTCTAACTACATTTCATTTATCTGCATCTAAACAGAGGATCAATTTTACCATCTCGTCCTCAGGGGTTTGATTATGGAGTAAAACACTATCATATATTTTTAATATATAATGCAGTACAATTATATGAATTATTCACAATTATTCAATTATAAACATGAATAATTCATTTTATAATTCATATTTCATTCACTATATATAATTAATGTCTTGTGTGCAAGTGCACCTGGGCCAAAAAGAGGAGTGCATTTGCTTTCTTTTATGTATTACACATCTTTTAAATGAGAAAGACATTGGTTATTGTGTAGAAATCATTCTGTGGAATGAATGATTCTGATTCTCATTATACACTATTATATCTAGACAGTGTAACCCAGACTGCCTGTTATTCATTTTGAGAGCAAGATTTTTTTTTGTCATTGAAAAAAATGCAGACCAACGCCTCTTATATGTTTTTTATTTGATTCAATTTCACTGCTTGCTCTTAATAATGCAATATTTTGTGCAGCATAAAAATTGCACAAAAATATTCTATTTTCTGCATAGGATTCATATTAAAGGAATTTTATGCATAAAGGTAATGTAGCATTTACATTTGCAGAATTAAATAATATTTTCCATTTATTATTATTATTATCTTTAAACTTCATAACTCCATTCTAGAACTCCACTTTTGAAAACAATCACATCTGGTTCCAATGGGCTAAACGAATAACAAATAATATAAAAATACAATAAAGTGAAATAAATAATAATTTAGTTTGTGTAGATTATTTTTATTTGAAATTCATTACATTATGCATTTTTTCATATATCAGTAGTCCTTAAGCATTTTTATTTAAATCCGTTTCACATTTTTCTCTTACACTCTAAAAAATGCTGGGTTAAATACAACCCAGTGCTGGGTAAAATAGGGACAAACCCAGCAATTGGGCTGTTTTGACCCAGCGGTTGGTTTAAATGTTTAACCCAACCTTCTGGGTAGTAACCCAATCGCTGGGTCAAAACAACCCAATTGCTGGGTTTGTCCCTATTTTACCCAGCATTTTTTAGAGTGCATCAATGGTTATATTTCACATCTGTACTATTATGCATAATAGGAACTGACACTCGTTTGGTTTTTTACAACCCCTTTGTCCTGTGCAATGGAATGCAGGTCTCATCATTTACATATCATTGATTAATGACAATCATGCACTATCCATCCACTCCATAACAACTGTGGAGTGCCAGAGCATGTGATTCTCCTCTCTAGTCCTGAGCTTTTGTTATGAGTAACCGCTGATGTGTCTTTTCCTTCAGATGATGTATGATGATGATGATGATAGCATTAAATTAGCCAGAGAAGGAACGACACATCTGGTTGCACAAAACACATTTTCTAAGCCTGTGCAGATGTTTATTGTATTCATCGCGGCCTCGTCTTCGAATAACACGCACGAAAACGAGCATTTGTAGGAAGTAAACAAAGTATCAGCTCAGTGAACGGTACCGCTGCGCGCGCATTTACATTTTTAGGACGGAAGTGCAACGGCTGAAACCCGGAGGAAAGCGACAACGGGAGTGAAAACGAAGCGGAATTAGTCAATGAGAGGGAGGAGAGAGCGAAAGAGAAGGAGTGTGTGCGACAGCCGACAGGGAGGCTGCAGGACGCTGGGGCCGAGGTGGACGTGGCGTGTCCGGCAGGGGTTTGATGTGGGTTCCGCTTACGGCGCGTTGACGGCCGCAAAAAAAAAAAAAAATGAACAGGAAAAAAAAAA